TTGGCAGCCCGAGTTCTCTGAGGTGCCAGGGCAGAAAGATACTATCTACCTTGGGCTGTAAACAAGTTTCAATCATGCCTAGGAGGTTGTGGAGCCCCAGATGCGAATTCAGGCCTCAGCCTTGGCCCCGCCCCCACCCAGGCGCTGTGCACAGGAGGAGATGGCAGCTGTGGCTGCGCCCTGCCTCTCTTCTCATGAGAAGCGCCAGTAATGGCTCCACAGGTCTGAGGAGACAAAGGCTACGGCGCCCCTCCCCCCAGGGCACACCAGCCGTGTTGCTTTGCTTTTTTTGCAATTTATGGGGGACTGAGGTGGTTCTGCTCCATATCCCCTCCCAGCCACGGCACACAGCCTCCTGCAGTCCCCTAGACTGCCTCAGTGCAGCCGCCTCAGTCCTCCACCTGGCTTGGGCGGCCTGCCCCGGCCCCAGCTGCCGGCTCGCATCTCAGGCTGGGTGTCATTGGGACTCTTCGTGCCTGTTTAACTCAGTTCTGTTGGTCAAGAGATGCTCAGGGCAGATCTGAGCCTCGGAGGCTCCCCCTCCATCTTGTTGGTCTCTCGGAGAGGGGAGACCCAGCGAACAAGTGCCAGTCCTCCTCTGCTGTTCCCTCCCTGCAGGACCAGTCCCACACTGTTTTGCTTTTTCTTCTTTCTTTTTTCCTTTTCTCCTACCAGATTTTTGGCATCTTTGTCTTTCAAAGAGGGCGATGTTCTGTCAGAGTTTGGCAGGTGCTCTGGTTGGCTGGGTGGGTCTGTAGATGTGAGTTTTGGTGTATTTGTGGGAGAAGGTGAGCTACAAGCGTCCTTCTACTCCGCCATCTTGCTTCTCTGGGTTTGTTTTTTCTTATTCAGCTGTTTGAGCTGTTTATATATTCTGGAGATTAAGCCCCTGTCAGTCTCGTCTTTTGTAAATATTTTCTCCCATTCTGTAGGCTGTCTTTTTGTTTTGCTTATGGTTTCCTTTGCTGTGAAAAAGCTTGTAACTTTAATTAGGTTCCATTTGTTTAAATTTGCTTCTATTTCTATTGTTTGGGTAGATTACCTCAGGAGAACATTGCTGAGATTTATGCTGGATAATGTTTTGCCTATGTTTTCTTCTAAGAGGTTTATAGTATCTTGTCTTATGTTTAAGTCTATAAGCCACTTTGAGTTTAGTTTTGTGTATGGTGTGAGGGAGTGTTCTAGCTTCACTGATTTACATGCTGCTGTCCAGTTTTCCCAGCACCATTTGCTGAAGAGACTGTCTTTACTCCATTATATGTTCTTGCCTCCTTTGTCAAAGATTAATTGACCAAAAGTTTGTGGATTTATTTCTGGGCTCTCTATTCTGTTCCATTGATCCATATGTCTGTTTTTGTATCAATATCATGCTGTTTTGATTACTGTAGCTCTGTAGTATTTTCCGAAGTCTGGGAAAGTTATTCCTCCAGCTTCGTTCTTTTTCTTCAGTAATGTTTGGGCAGTTCTGGGTCTTTTGTGATTCCATATAAATTTTAATTATGATTTGTTCTAATTCTGTGAAAAACGTTCTGGGTAATTTGATAGGGATCACATTAAATCTGTAGATTGCTTTGTGTAGTTTGCTCATTTTAACAATATTAATTTTTCCAATCCAAGAACATGGGATATCTTTCCATTTCTTTAAGTCTTCTTTAATTTCCTTAGCATCTTGTAGTTCTCTGCATATAAGTCTTTAACTTTCTTGGTCAGATTTATTTCTAAATATTTTACTTTTTTGAATGCAGTTTTAAAAGGGATTGTTTCTTTACTTTCCTTTTCTGATATTTCATTGTTAGTGTAAAGAAATGCCTCTGACTTATGGATGTTAATGTTGTATCCTGCTACCTTGTCAAAGTCTTTTCTCAGCTCTAGTAGTTTTTGTGTGGAGCTTTTAGGGTTTTCTATATATAGTATCATGTCATCCACATATAATGATAATTTTACCTCTTCTCTTCCAGTTTGGAACACTTTTATTTTTCCTGTCTAATTGTTATGGCTAGGACTTCTAGTACTATATTGAATAGAAATGTGAGAGTGGGCATCCTTGTCTTGTTCCAGATTTTAGAGGAAAGGCTTTCAGCTTTTCACCCTTGAATATTATGCTGGTTGTAGGTTTGTCATATATAGTTTTTATTATGTTGAGATATGTTCCCTCTATACCCACTTTGGTGAGAGTTTTTATCATAAATTGGTGTTGAATTTTATTAAATGCTTTTTCTGCATCTATTGAGGTGATCATGTGATTTTCATCCTTTCTCTTGTTGATGTGGTGTATCACCTTGATTGATTTATGTATGTTGAAACATCCTTTGTCCCTGGGATGAATCCAACTTGATCATAGTGTATGATCTTTTTAATGTGTTTTTAGATTCTGCTTGCTACTATTTAGTTGAGGATTTTTGCATCTATGTTCATCAACATTATTGGCCTTTAGCTATATTTTTTGGTAGTGTCTTGGTCTGGCTTCAGTATCAGGGTAATGGCTTCATAGAATGAGTTTGGGGTACTCCCTCCTCTTCAATCTTTTGGAAGAGTTTGAGAGGGATTGGTATGTGCTCTTCTTTGTATGTTTGGTAGTACTCCCCAGTGATGCTGTCTGATCCTCGACTTCTGTTTGCAGGGAGGCTTTTTTTTTATTGCTTATTCTATTTCACTTCTACTGATTGGTCTGTTCATATGATCTGTTTATTCTTGATTCAGTTTTGATGGATGTTTGATGGATGTATGTTTCTAGAAACTTCTCCATTTCTTCTGAGTTATCCAAATTATTGCCATATAGGTGTTCATAGTATTCTTTTATGATGTTTTGTGTTTCTGTGGTGTTGGTTGTAGTCTCTCCATTTTCATTTCTTATTTTGTTTATTTGTGTACTTTCTCTTTTCTTCTTGTTGAGCCTGGCCAGAGGTTTGTAAGTTTTGTTTACTCTTTCATAAAACCAACTCTTGGTTTCATTGATTTTTTTCTATTGTTTTTTAATCTCTGTTTTATTTATTTCCTCCCTGATCTTTAATATATCTTTCCTTCTGCTTTCTTTAGGTTTTGTTTGTTCTTTTTCTAATTCTTCTAGGTGATAGGTTAAGTTGTTTATTTGAGATTCTTATCCCTTTTTGAGGAAGGCCTGTATCTCTTTGAACTTCCCTGTTAGGACTGTTTTTGCTGCATGCCATAGATTTTGTGTGGTTGGATTTTCATTGTCATTTGTCTCAGGGTATTTTTTTATTTCTTCTTTGATTCCATCATTGACCCATTGGTTTTTTAGTAGCATGTTGTTTAGTCTCCATGCTGTCATTTTTTTCTCATTTGTTTTTCTGTGGTTGATTTATAGTCTCCTGCCATTATTGTCAGATAAGATGCTTGGAATAATTTCTGTCCTCTTAAATTTGTTGAGGTTTCTTTCGTGGCTGAGTATTTGGTCTATCCTACAGAAAGTTCCATAAACATTTGAAAAGAATGTATATTCTGTTTTGGAGGGTTGTAGTGTCCTGAAAATATCAACCAGTTCCAACTATTCTATTGTTTCATTTAGTATCTCCATTGCATTATTGACTTTCTGTCTGGAAGACCTGTCCAGTGATGTTGAGTTCTCATGCTATGATTGTATCCCCATCAAGTTCTCTCTTTATGTCTGTTACTATTTGTTTTATATATTCATGTGTTCCTGTACTGGGTGCATATATGTTAAGGAGTGTAAAAATCTTCATTTTGCATCACTCCTTTGATCATTATATAGTGTCCTTCTTTATCTCTCTTTATGGCCTTTGTTTTAAAGTCTATTTTGTCTGATATGAGTATTGCTACTCCTGCTTTCTTGTCATTTCCATGAAATATCTTTTTACATTCTCTCACTTTCAATCTATGTGTGTCTTTCACTCTAAATTGGGTCTCTTGTAAGCAACATATTGTAAGTTTTAGTTTTATTATCCACTCTGCCATTCTGTGTGTTTTGATTAGAGCATTTAGTACATTGACATTTATAGTAATTATTGATAGATGTGTGTTTATTGCCATTTTGAACTTCGTTTTCCTGTTGATTTGGCGTTTCCCCTTTGTTCCTTTCTTTTCCTTTTTGTTTTTCTTTTTGTGGCTTGATAATTTTATTTTCTATTAGCTTGGTTTCCTTTTGGTTTTTGTGACCCTATTGTATGTTTTGATTTGTGGTTACCTTGTTTTTCAGGCATGTTAGCCCCTTATTATATCTGCTTGCTTTTGTTGATAGTCATGTAGGCTCAAACACATCCTAAAAAGAACAAAGAAAAAATAGTAAAGAAGAGAGAGAAAAAAATGTATATTTCTTGCTCTCCTCTCTGACCTTTTATGATTTTGTTATTCTTTATTTTTATTTATTTATTTATTTATTTACATCTTCATGTTTATTCCCTTGCAATTCACTATAGTTTTCACATTTCCAATTATGGTTTTCTAATTTCTATAGCTTCCCATTTCGTTTTAATTTAGAGTAGCCCTTTCAATATTTCATTTAGTATGGGTTTAGTATGGCTGAATTCTTTTAGTTTTTGCTTGTTTGTGAAATTCTTGATCTCTCTTTCTGTTTTAAAGGATAGTCTTGCCTGATAGAGTATCCTAGGTTACAGTTTTTTTCTCATTCGGGACTTTGATTGTATCTTGCCACTCCCTCTGGCCAGTAGTATTTGTGTAGAGAAATCACTGAAAGCCTTATGGGGTTCCTTTGTAAATAACTCTTTTGTTTTTCTCTTGCTGCCTTCAGAATCCTTTCTTTATCTTTAATTTTGGCCATCTCAATTATGATATGTCTTGGTGTGTATCTGTTTGGGTTCTTCTTTTTTGGGACCCTCTGTGCCTCCTGAACATCTGTTTCCTTCTTTAGGTTTGGAAAGTTTTCAGTCATGATTTCTTCAAATACCTTTTCAATCCCCTTTTCTCTCTCTTCTCCTTCTGGAACCCCTATTATGCATAGTTTGGCATGCTTTATATTATCGCACAGGTTCCTTATATTGCTTTCATTGATTTTTACTTGCTTTTCTGTCTGCAGTTCTGATTGGGTGATTTCTGTCATCCTGTCTTCTAGGACACTTATTTGTTCCTCGGCGTTATCTAGTCTGCTTTGGATTGCCTGCATTTCGGCTCTTAGCTCAGCAATTGAGTTTTCTGTTTTTAAGTGGCTCTTCTCTTTAGTTTTAATTTCCTTTTTAAAGTATTTTCCATCTCTAGTGATAGTCTCTTCTAGTTCCTTGATTGCGTTGACCATTCCCTTTTTGAAGTCATGATCTAATAGACTATTGAGATTTATTCCATTGATTGTTCTCTCAGGAGATTTCTCTTGTTCTTTTAATTGAGAGTGGTTCCTCTGCTTCTTCATTTTACTTACATTTCTTTGGCTCTATGGATTTCATTTAAATCTGTTTCTGAGCTATGGTGCGTATTAGGCAGGGTTGGAGCACTTCAGTTGGGAAGAAGAGTGGGTAGGAGTCCCCTGGGAAGTGCCCTCTGTGGTGATGTCTGTCACTTGTTATGCGGGCTTACAAAGTACTCTTTGTTGATGCTTCCTTTATCCTCACCTTAGCTGCAGGAATCTTGGCCACCTGCTCTGGTGTCCCCTAGGTTCTGAACCCCAGAAACTGCCAATGTCAGGTACTTGCACCCACCATAGCAAAAGTACAGTCACACACCTGAATCTGTGGTCCAGCACAGGGTTGGCACAGACCCCAGCCGGCCTCCACATATGGTACCATACACCAGCCTGTTGTAAATACCCATACTCGCCCCCGCCATAGTCAGAACTCTGCTCACTGCCTGTTAGTCCCAGAGGCACAGGTCTGCAAAGGGTCCAGAGAGAGCAAATCCCTCCTCTCTGCTTGGGGCTGTAAATAAACCTCAGTCTTATCTGTGAAGCTGCAGGGCCGCTGGGTGTGGATTCAGCTTTCATCCACAGCCATGATGGCTATGGTCAAGCCCCATTCCTCTTCTCACCAGAACACACCAATAATGGAGCCAAGCAGAGAAAGCAGCTGTGGTGTGGCTACATGCGCCCCTCGCGCACACACACCCCAACAGTGGTGCTTTCTTATGGGGTTCCCAGGCTGTTCTGTTCCACACTCACCCCCAGCCAGAGTTCACACTGCCCTCCAGTCCCCTGAGGCTGTCTCTGTGCAGTGGGACCCAGCCCTCTGCTGGGCTCCTCGCCGATCTCCAGCAGCCAGTCCCAGCTTGTCCCTGCAGGCTCGTGCCTAGGGCCGGGGATCGCAGGGACCCTCTGTGTCAGTTTCCTTCAGTTCTGTCTGCCACACAGTTGCCGCTTTCTCCTCCAACCTTGGAAGCTCCGCTTCTGTCCCCACTGACCTCCCAGCTGGAGAGGGGTGTCCCAGCGTGAGGGTG